CTCCTCTTCCCTCAACAATCCCTGCTAGCCTGCCCTCTTCTCTTCCTCAACAATCTCTGCTAGCCTGCCCTCTCCTCTTCCTCAACAATCTCTGCTAGCCTGCCCTCTCCTCTTTCTCAACAATCTCTGCTAGCCTGCCTTCTCCTCTTCCTCAACAATCTCTGCTAGCCTGCCCTCTCCTCATCCTCAACAATCTCTGCTAGCCTGCCCTCTCCTCTTCCTCAACAATCTCTGCTAGCCTGCCCTCTCCTCTTCCTCAACAATCTCTGCTAGCCTGCCCTCTCCTCTTCCTCAACAATCTCTGCTAGCCTGCCTTATCCTCGTGCTCCAAATTTTAAAACATTTTGATAAATTAAAATATCCAGGGGGCGTCAAAGGGCGGCAAGGAAGCGGTCGTAAAGATGGGCGGCTGATAAAGGGCGGGGGTCCGGTTAGTCGGGCCGGAAAATATACTCTATACCTCCCGCAAATACCTATATCTGGCTCAAACATTTTTCTATTATTTCCAGTTAATAATGCCCAAACTACAAGTGGGGCCCGGAGAAAGTCTTTTTTGGGCCGATCTGGCCGAGGTGCGAGCGAGCGGCCTCGAGCCGTTCATGCTATATCGACTGGAGCTGAGGTTTGCCTGTAGTTTTTGTCATTTATGTATTTTACTCTAATAGGTGTATTTATTGATGTTATATCCTTCTTTTCAGTAAACTTTTTGCAGCCTAGAGCACAAGACAAAATTCCGGTCGCTAGCCTACTATTTTTCCGACGAGCACGGGGCGTTGGATTTGGCAAAGGAGGCGCCGGTTTTTGGCATGTATAAAGGTGAAAAATAACTTTTTTTGCTTCTAAAAAAATTGGTATTATGGTTCTTTAGCATTATCGGGGGTAATTGATTATGCAAAATAAATCTTAAAATAGAAAATTGGTCAAAAATCGGCCGTTTTCGGTAAAAAATCAATTGTTGTTTTTTTCGTGTTTTTGCATACAAATCCGTAAAATTTGGACGTTTAGAAATAGAAAAACTTTTTAAAGAATCTTCCACTATTTGTATTTGTAAAATTAGATCTTAAGAAAAGGAAGAAAATAGCGAAAAGTTCAAAAATCCACCCCCGCTAACGGACCAGAGCCCTTTAGGAACTCATGCTCAAGGCAAAATCGGTTCTTAACGCTACAAAATCCACTTAGCATCAAAATGTTCGCTTTTAAAGTTCAGGACCGTTTTTAGGCGTCGATAAAATGGGCCTATTCACGGCTCTCTACACCCATCCCGGGGAGCGGCAAACGGCCAAGCTGTTGCTCAATCCACTGCCCGAGTTTTTGGAATATACACTCTCGCTGTATCACCGAGAAGAGACGAGGGTTTTGGATACGGTAATGGGGGCAATTTAACAAAAAAAAAACCCTAGCATTTAGGTAAAGCTCACCCGAAAACTCATACATCCCGGAATCACGCGCGAGCCGATAAAGCATAATAAGCTGGAAGGAGCGCTGTACTACCCAAAAACTCGGGGTGGGCCCTGAAAATTAAAACGTTGGAACCTGATTTTGAAGGACCCGAAAAATTGCCGAGTATTTTGGACTTGTACGGAGTAGCCATGGGGACAAAGGAGCATCGGTCTGACAAAAATCGAAAAATAAAGATGTAAATTTAGGGCGGCAATGCTGGCCGCGCAGGGATATTGCGTATTGGCTTTGGCGATTTTTGGAACCGGAAAATTGAGCAAGAAGCATGAGGACGTCACCACGGAATATTTGCAGGCAAGCTAGCGGAGATTGTTGAGGAAGAGGAGAGGGCAGACTAGCAGAGATTGTTGAGGAAGAGGAGAGGGCAGGCTAGCAGAGATTGTTGAGGAAGAGGAGAGGGCAGGCTAGCAGAGATTGTTGAGGAAGAGGAGAGGGCAGGCTAGCAGAGATTGTTGAGGAAGAGGAGAGGGCAGGCTAGCAGAGATTGTTGAGGAAGAGGAGAGGGCAGGCTAGCAGAGATTTTTTCGGTAAATTCCACGAATTCGTGAAATTCCAGCTAGCAGTCGATTTTCTGACCCAACTACCGTACACCCAGAGCCGCTGCGCGGTCGTGGGTACTTCCTTTGGCGGCACCCTCGGCTACCACTTGACGTTCGAAAAACCGGAGGTGAGCTTGATAATTCAACTCCAGGGCAGGCTAGCAGAGATTTTGATAGAAAACGCCTACAGGTAGCCTGCGCCGTGAGTATCAACGGCCAACGCGGACACTACATGGTGTCGCAGATGAACGCAGGGGGCGAGAAGCTGCCATGGACCCCGTTAGTCCGAAGTGCTATCCTCAAGCACCCGTGTTAGCATGCCAAAACCCAGATTTTTTTCAGGGTGCTCCCCCACAACCTGCCCAACATTGACCACTACGGCGGGTTCATCTCCTATGGCCGGATGTACGGGTCGTGCGAGCTGGACGAGGAGCACATGCTGCGTTTCGAGAAGCTACGCCAGGATCAGCATCTGCTGTATATAGTGGGAGCCAGAAAACTTAACGGGGGCTTTAAAGCTCGATTATAGGCCGGCGGCCAAGACCGAGCCATCGATGCCCAGGTGCAGGGGCGAGAGATCGAGCGTCTATTGGAAAGTAATGGAGTCGGGAAGCAGTTTGAGTTGCTAGAGCTGCCTGACTGTGGCCACATCATTGATCCTCCGTATATGCCACTGAATGATTTTTTGTATCAAGGAGGTAGGCAAACTAGAAGAGATTGTTGAGGAAGAGGAGCAGGCAGATTGGCAGAGATTTTTTGGGGGTCACTTGTCAATTTTCCAAGGAAAAATTTCAGGACGCTACATGGCCTTCGGCGGCGATCCATACCCGCATGGCGTGGGACAGCACGTAGCCTGGAAGAAACTCCTCGAATTCCTTGAGAAGCACATTGGCCCGGGGACCTGCATTACCGGCAATAAATTGTGAATTTTTTCATAAAACAAAGTATTTTTGAAGCGGCAGAAAGACAGGCTAGCTGAAATTGTTGTGGAATTATGCTGAACCTTCATGTCTCCTTTATGCAAATCGCGTTATCTCATGCCTATTATCTGGCCGGGCCATCATGTAGCGTTTTATCCTAAACACGATCTGGGGTCAGCCGGTTGCATAAAGTAAAGGATTTGCACTCGGCCACCCGCTCCACTTCCTCAACAATCTCTGCTATCTTGCCCTCTCCTCTTCCTCAACAATCTCTGCTAGCCTGCCCTCTCCTCTTCCTCAACAATCTCTGCTAGCCTGCCCTCTCCTCTTCCTCAACAATCTCTGCTAGCCTGCCCTCTCCTCTTCCTCAACAATCTCTGCTAGCCTGCCCTCTCCTCTTCCTCAACAATCTCTGCTAGCCTGCCCTCTCCTCTTCCTCAACAATCTCTGCTAGCCTGCCCTCTCCTCTTCCTCAATAATCTCTGCTAGCCTGCCCTCTCCTCTTCCTCAACAATCTCTGCTAGCCTGCCCTCCCTCTTCCTCAACAATCTCTGCTAGCCTGCCCTCTCCTCTTCCTCAACAATCTCTGCTAGCCTGCCCTCTCCTCTTCCTCAACAATCTCTGCTAGCCTGCCCTCTCCTCTTCCTCAACAATCTCTGCTAGCCTGCCCTCTCCTCTTCCTCAACAATCTCTGCTAGCCTGCCCTCTCCTGCCCCCCAATTCCATTTCGGGACCCCTTGTTTCGGCGCGTCCTTGGCGTTTTTGTTTCAGCCCCCTGAAATTACATGTGAGTGTGAGTGTGGGGTGGAATACCCTCACAAAAAGGTCCCGAAACGGCCCAGAAAGTGCTCGTTATGGTCAACGGCCAGCTGGAGAGACTCCTCCGGCCCATTCCAAGCCAAGGGCGAACGCATTTCCGCGTTTTGTAGTGGAACGGTGGTCAGAAGTTTGGGTTAGAGCGAGAGAGAGAGAGAGATGGAGAGAGGGAGAGAGAGGTCATAGCTCAAACCCGTCATTTTCGCTTCCCCTTTCTCAAATGATCTCGGCTAGCCCGCCGGATTTTAATGCGTCTTTATTGCCAACTCTCGAGGGCGGAAGTAGTAGCGCGCGGACCGTTAAAGTTGGAAAACTGTCTAGCAGGAGAGGGGCGGGGGGAGAGGGGGGTGGGGGGAGCCGAGATGGCAGCTTGGGGTGGCCGGTCCATTTCTTTTGGCGTTCCTCTCGTTTCCACTCTACGAACGGGGAGGGGACGCAACCTCTTTTCTTTTGCTGTTCAACTTCGAGTTTGGTGCCAGCCGCTACGAAATATTCTTAGGAACGCCGAAAATCGTGATTTGTTGACGACGGGGTGCTATTTTCAAAGAATCTCTGCTCGCTTACCAAAAACACAATTTCCTAAATGCTCACTGCAAGCCTGCCGCTTGCCGCCATTTCCTAAAGAATCTCTGCTAATCTCTGCTCACGATTTCCTCAAGAATCTATGCTGCACGTTCTCTTTTTTCCTAAAGGTTCCCTGCTAGCCTACCTTGCCCTAACATTTCCAAAAAATTCTATGTTACCTTCCCGTTCTCTTCGTTTTCCAAAAGCCCTCTGCCAGCCTACCCTGTCGATACGGTTTCCCAAGGAATCCCTGCTAGCCTGCCAAGAACACGCTTCCGAACGAATCTCTGCTCGCCTGCCCTTTCGCTTGGTGATAAGGCCCGGTGTGGAAAAGCGGCGGCGAGCAGAGGCCGCTTGCGGAAACCGATACACCACCCCTGACCCGGAATAAATGACCGCTCCCCAGGAGATTGTTTACAGTCGAAATGTGGCAGCTGCGAGGGGACCCCGGCGGGCCACGCGAAACATGAAGCCCCGCCCCCTGGCCTACTCACAATGCTTTTTTTTGGACGCGGTCATTTTTGGACTGCTGGACGTGTTTTTTGAGATGGCGGGCTAGCAGAGATTGTTTAGGAAGAGGAGAGGGCAGGCTAGCAGAGATTGTTGAGGAACAGGAGAGGGAATGTTAGCAGAGATTGTTGAGGATCATCCCGATTTTTTTTCCTTTCCTGGTGCAAAATTTCTATAAACCTGTATTCCTTTCAGCGAAACGCGCTCTGAAATTGAACGCTTCTCGGCGCGATGGTGCGTGCGGGGGCGTGGGTGGCGGGCGCGGGCGGTGCCCTCTTCGCCGCCCTCTACCTCATCGCCGCCATCCTGCAGCAACCGCTTGGCGACCATCGCATCGAGCAGACGACGAAAGACACGATTCCGCTACACTACACGGGTAGGGGATCTCGCTCAAGAAACAATGCCCTGAATAGCTTCAGACCAATCCCCCGGCCGCCCTCAACAGTTCTCCACCCTCACGAAGGAGGACATATTTTCTCAATGCCGCCTAACCATTCACGACCCCTATTCCGGGGCCATAAACCGGACGATAGAGTGGCGGGACCCCTTGGCTGGGTGCCAAAAGGGATATGTGAGTTCATAGCCAGAGAGAGTCAGCATGAGTCTTTTAAAGGAGCCCGCCACCCAGCTGGTCGACGGCAAGATATCCATCGCGCCTAGGTGGACCGACAAAATTGGGCACTGCAGGGCTAGGTGAGAAGGCGTCTGTATTAAAACCTCTTCTTAGGTGTCACGAGTACGCAAGTGTACGTAAGTACAGCCCGGGGCCCTGGATAGAGCTGGGCCCGAACGATCGGGTCCCAATGGAGTGCGACTTTGTCTATGCGGAATGTTTGGGGCTTGGTGGCCATATCGTTGATCAGTACATTCACTCGCAAATTGTGGAAACGGAAAAACGGTGGGTGCTTAAACGCTCTCTGCTAGCCTGCCCTCTCCTCTTCCTCAACAATCTCTGCTAGCCTGCCCTCTCCTCTTCCTCAACAATCTCTGCTAGCCTGCCTTCTCCTCTTCCTCAACAATCTCTGCTAGCCTGCCCTCTCCTCTTCCTCAACAATCTCTGCTAGCCTGCCCCTCTCCTCTTCCTCAACAATCTCTGCTAGCCTGCCTTCTCCTCTTCCTCAACAATCTCTGCTAGCCTGCCCTCTCCTCTTCCTCAACAATCTCTGCTAGCCTGCCCTCTCCTCTTCCTCAACAATCTCTGCTAGCCTGCCCTCTCCTCTTCCCCAACAATCTCTGCTAGCCTGCCCCTTTAGCACCTATTCCTCATCCGACTTTGAACTTCCGCGCGAAGACTTTGGCCCGCTGCCAAATGTCCATATTTTCCTGATCGACTCTGTATCGTCAACTCAGGCTAGAAGGTTGGTTTTAACGGCGTTAGGACGCTTTCCGAGATCTTCAAAACTCGCCATCTCCACCTCCAGTTTCAGATCCCTCCCAAAAACCCTCGATTTTCTGGAGCACCAGATGGGCGGAGTGCAGTTCCACCACCTGAACAAGGTGGGGGACAACAGCCGTCCCAACGGCTATGCACTGTTTATGGGTAATATTTTGTCACGGCTAGCCTGGCAGCGATGCTTTGCGGAAATAAAAAGTGACCGATCGAGCTTTAGGCAAGCGGGTGTACGAGATGGAGCGCGAGGCGCTAGGTGGGGAGGATTTGAAGCCTGAGATGTCGTACAAGCAGCATTGCCACGAGTATCGCGATGAGGACGCCGTCATCTTCAAGCTGTACGAGAAAATGGGTAGGCCACAGAGTACAAAGTGAGAGAGTAATCAACATAGGCTATAAAACGCTCTACAACGAGGAGTATCTGACGGGCGATATGTGGAGTTGGCCAGCGACTTGCCGAGGATTTGAAAAGCAGCCGACAACGCATTGCTATCGGTGAGGGGCTAGCAGAGATTGTTGAGGAAGAGGAGAGAGCAGGCTAGCAGAGATTGTTGAGGAAGAGGAGAGAGCAGGCTAGCAGAGATTGTTGAGGAAGAGGAGAGAGCAGGCTAGCAGAGATTGTTGAGGAAGAGGAGAGGGCAGGCTAGCAGAGATTGTTGAGGAAGAGGAGAGGGCAGGCTAGCAGAGATTGTTGAGGAAGAGGAGGGGGCAGGCTAGCAGAGATTGTTGAGGAAGAGGAGAGGGCAGGCTAGCAGAGATTGTTGAGGAAGAGGAGAGGGCAGGCTAGCAGAGATTGTTGAGGAAGAGGAGAGGGCAGGCTAGCAGAGATTGTTGAGGAAGAGGAGAGGGCAGGCTAGCAGAGATTGTTGAGGAAGAGGAGAGGGCAGGCTAGCAGAGATTGTTGAGGAAGAGTAGAGGGCAGGCTAGCAGAGATTGTTGAGGAAGAGGAGAGGGCAGGCTAGCAGAGATTGTTGAGGAAGAGGGGAGGGCAGGCTTGCAGAGATTGTTGAGGAAGAGGAGAGGGCAGGCTAGCAGAGATTGTTGAGGAAGAGGAGAGGGCAGGCTTGCAGAGATTGTTGAGGAAGAGGAGAGGGCAGGCTAGCAGAGATTGTTGAGGAAGAGGAGAGGGCAGGCTAGCAGAGATTGTTGAGGAAGAGGAGAGGGCAGGCTAGCAGAGATTGTTGAGGAAGAGGAGAGGGCAGACTAGCAGAGATCGTTGAGGAAAACGTCGGCTTTTCCCAGGCCGATTCCAGCCACGCTGCTCGCTAACGAAAAGCTGCGCAGAGGGCTACCCCGGAAATGCATCGAACAGCACCACCTGCAATACAAATACCATCAGCAATTCCTCGAGGCGTATCAGGGTCTTTTTTCTAAGGATCAAATTGTTCTGATACAAAT